GTGGAATGAAGGAGGGGAGGATGAGTAAGGGAGGATTAGTATTGTGGGTGCGAGGATAGGAGTGGGGGGGGGTGTAGGTTGTGGTTAGTATGGAGATTGGAGAGGAGGGGAGGGCAAGGGTAATGTGAGATTGGGCTTGGACTAGTTTCGGCGGATTAGACCTAGTTAGTTGCTACTAGAGCTTCTTTTTAGAGTAACTGTATTATCTAGGAGGCTGTCAATTATTTATACGTATTCTGCTAACTCGTAGAAAGGTGCGAAGAGCCTTAGGAATTCTTAGATACAAGTAACTAGCCAAACAACAAAACTTCGCGGCCTAGTATATTTTGCTATTATGATTGCTAGACGAAACATGAGCACAGAAGCCGGTGCTGTGATCGGTTATATGCGATTAAGCATCGCAATATTGTTAGTGCTAGTCTTAGATAATGTCACACAGAATGTACTATGCTATTCTGATCTACATATGTTACCTACAGTACAGACCCAGATGGTCTTTCGATCCAGCAATATATCCTAGATTACTGCTACAAGTTTATTCTTTAAGCACAGCGAGCGCCCATTCCTCCTCTTCGTCCGCAAAATCTACATACTTTAACCCCGAGAATTCCTGCTCTTTAGTAAAGAATGCAACGTCTTTTAGCTGTACTTCTTCTGTCGCTACCTTGAAATCATCCACCTCGTCTTTTTAGTTCATAAATCCTGCATTACTGGGCAGGTAGCTTTTTGCATTTAAGTCAACTTCGCCCCGCCATGACCAGCCTTCCTTTTTGACGATGTGTAATCGGTACGCGAGGATACAATCTCCAAGTACTGTCCAAGAATCTGCGTTATGTGGATAAGCAATCAGGTGGCGTCTTCGGGAGACAGGTAAGAGTGTACTAACCTGTCGTTTCTCCACCTTGCTCGCTATTCGCGTTCGCTCCAAGTGTGACGTCCTCGGTAACGTGTGCTTCTCCACTTAATTCCGCACTGCGCTCACTCGCTCGTTCATTGGTATATTTGAGCCCTTTCGCAATCTTCAATCCCGTGACGATATACACCTACCTAGCTCAGATTAACAAAATTCACCTGACATATTAACCCCATTCCGAGTATCTCGAAACAGGATAGGTACTAAGTTACCAGCTTATTCTTCAACGCACTCTTCACCTTAGCATCCCTCTCCCTCAATGCCTTTATCTCCTTTACCGTCGGATTTTTCTCTAGATACAGCGCCTCCACCTCTTTAAATTCGTATATAGTCTTGACAGAGCTGCTCTGCTTCGCTTCCGCCTGTCCGCTAATACATCGTATAATTTCGCAGACAGCCCCGCGTGGACAGAAGAATGATGCTCGCTCTCTGTTCTACCTTCACCATAACCTGACCCAGAGATGATGTTGGGTAAAGGGTCTAGGAAGGAGATCGGATCCTGGGGTAGACTGAGATCGGTCGATGTTGCCAATCTTGATAGGCCCTTTGGGAGGCGAATTCAGGTCGTGCGCCCGGGAGGTTTCCTGAGTTTTGGGCTGAAGGATCGGGAGGCATGGTGGAAATGGGTGCCGGGGATGGCTCAACTCGTGTTGGGTGTTTGGTTTTGGTGGAGCGGAAGAGTGAGCTTGTATCGGACTTTGGAGGCTGTGGATGATGGGTTGGCGAGAGAAGCGGGGTAGGTGCATAAGAGCAGCTTCAGCTCGCAGCCTCGCAGCTCACCGGTCAAGGCTGAACGCGAATATTCGTGGCGCTTTGCTATAGGCGGCGAGGTCTGTCCCGGAGTTGGCTGGATTACTTCAGCCGCACATTGATAGAACTTCGCCACAAGATAGGATCTCTCAGCCGCATCTTCTAGCAGAGATGAGCTGATTACCCTTACCTAGGTATGGTTCCACCCATTTGTGAAGCCAACTGCATTGTCACTCTTAGTTAAAGCAATAGCTACGACTTTCGCCGTATGAGTATTTCTGCTCATCCACGCAAGAAGCCTTGAGACCAGAGTCCGCAACAATCAATCCGGATTGTGAGATTGATCTTGTAAGATTGCCAGATTGAAGCTACAATCAAATCAAGAAGCTAGTCTTCAGATTAGTAGCTCAATCAATCAATCCGTGACGTCTAGATTGCCAGATTAATGAGATTGCTGCCTGTAGGGGTGGCGGGTGAAGGATAGATAAAGAATGGATTTTCCCGTGATAGCGCGTCGTGACGCGTCGTGCCAAGTCATATTAGCGGAGCCCTCTAAACCTTCTATCATCCACCTATATTTTTCGTTCTAAAACGCGTTACAATGCCTCCCTGATTTCAAAGAGGCAGCGGCGCACCTACAGTTGCTGTTGAAGTTACTAAACGACTGCGCCTATCGCAGCGATCGCCGTCGCCCCGAGAAGCCCTGGCTAGCCAGGCCACCGCCGTCTGAGCCAGCGTGGGAAACGCAATTTTTGAAGTCGCAACCTGAAGCTGAGATCACCGCGCCCACCGAGGGTAGCCACGCTGGCACTGGATCAATAGCAGACGACGCTGGCGCTGGCGCTAGCCGGTCTACGTGGGAGACTGACGGTGCCGATCACTTTGATGGGATTAGCTGGGAGCGGCTGAAGCAATACATGAAGCCAGTAAAGGCGCCAACAGGCAAGTAGAGTTGGATATATCAGCATGGCTATCGCATCGTCAAGTGAAGCAACCCAAAAAGCGTGTGGTTTGTATGCAGATACTGCCATTCTCACAAGGTCTTCGGTGGTGGTCTATACGATATAACGAGAGCGACGTCTGCAGCAGCAACTCACCTCCGGAAGGCTGCACGCGGCCATGGCCTGTCCGACGATTTCGATGTGAAAAGCAGCATCGCGTACGGGCAAGGTCAGCTATCGCTGCAGCAGGCGATCGACGGCGGCGTTGAACTATCCCAAGAAGCAGTCAACGTGTTTGGCTACTTCAACGTACAACAGTTTCGACTTGCCTTTGTTCTCTGGCTCGTTGACAACAATATGCCAATGGAAGTAATCGCGCGGCAGACGCGCGATATGATTAAGTTCGCCAACCCAGAGGCAGAAAGCGCGCTGTGGCGAAGCCCTCGCAGTGTCGCAACGTACGCGATGAGGCTGTTTAAGTTGCTAAAGCTGCAGATAGTCCTAGCCCTGTCTACAGTTATAAGCAAGATACACATAAGCTTTGACGGCTGGACGACAAAAGGCGGCAAGCGTGGCTTCTTTGGTATTGTTGCTCACTTTGCTACTACTGCTGGCGTTATACACGACCTCCCTATTAGCCTCCCACAACTCGCCGGCGCGCACACAGGCGAGGCTATTGCTGCTATTGTTATTAAAACGCTAAAACAGTTTGGGATTACGCCTAATCAATTAGGTTACTTTGTTCTTGACAACGCGTTAAATAACGACATTGCAGTTGCTGCAATCGCGCGCGACTACGGTGGCTTTAATCCTGCGCACCGGCGCCTCCGCTGCGGTCCTCATACGATTAATCTCATCGGCCAAGCACTCCTCTTTAGCGACGACAAGGACTCGTACAATAACGTTGCAGCTGAGCTTAAAAGAGAAGAGTTATATATGAGAGAATGGCGGCAGCATGGGCACTAGGCACTCTTATTGCTGTAATTAACTACATCAGAACACCGCAGCAACATGAGCTTTTTGAGGACTGCCAGCGAGAGGCTAATAAAGAGTTGCCGGCAGATGAGCAGGTCCTAGTCCTTGCGCCTGTACGGCCAGTTGTCACTTAATGGAACTCCTACTTTGCCGCAATCGAGCGCGCTACGTTGCTCTACGGCGGCTTCGATCGATATATGGAGAAGCACATCAGCCGCGTCGCTATAAACGATAAACGGAGTAGCAAGCCTGCTGACGCTCCAGTTTAGATGAGATCTGGCGGCCTTAGTGCTAGCGACTGGGCAACAATTACGGAGTACCAAAACTGCCTTGAGCCGCTCAAAATTGCGACAAAGAAGCTAGAAGGACGCAGCGACAGCAGCAGCTTTGGCGCTATATACGAGGTGCTGCCGGTCTTTGAGTATATATTGCGCAACATGGAGGAACTTGCGCAGCCGTACGCCAACGTCGATTTCAACGCTTATACAGAGGCGCCTGAAGGTAATTATTCTACCTTATTGTGCGTACAACTTGCTAACGATTAATTGCGCAGACTACCTTCACATTAACCTCCGCGCTGCCTGGCACAAGGCTAACGATTATTACAATAAGCTAGACGACTCACCGACCTATTACGCCGCTACATGCCTTCACCCCTACTACAAATACTACTGCGAAAACAGTTGGCGTGATAAGCCGGAGTGGCTACGCGTTGCTAATGACGGCTTTCAGCGCCTTTGGCAAGGCTATAGCAGCCGCAGCCGCAGCCCCTATCGCCTCGGGTTTTTTACAACAAGAACAAGTAATATAGATGACGTGATTGGGGCTTTTACGCGTCGCAGCGTTACAGGAACTCTACAAGGCGATGAGTACGATCGTTGGCTAAACCAAGAGCCGGCGTGGCAGGCTGTCGACGATGGCAACGCTGTCCAGTACTGGATTGCTATGCGCTCAAAATACCCGTGTTTAAGCCAATTTGCAATCGATATACTGACTATCCCAGCATCAAGCTGTGAGTACGAGCGGCTCTTCAGCGAGCTTGGTGATCTACTCGAGCCAAAACGACGCGCGATCGGCAGTGAGTTGCTTGCGGGTCTACAACTTATACGGGCATAGACTGGGCTGGCACACACATAAAAGAATTGAAACGCACAGCAGCGAAGGCTTTACAGACATTACTTGCGCGAGAGTACGATATATACAACTGGGCAGAGTCGCCAGAGATCATGACTCTGGAGGAGTAGCTACACTACCAAAATCCGAAAAGTCTGACAACCAAGTCAAGACAAGACAATCTCAACTGCCTCACGACGCCTCAATCCGCAATCAAGACAACCGTAGGGTTTCTCTCGCCCCAATCGTCAAGAAATCGGTCTCAGATTGTCTTGACTTAATGTTGCGGGGGTGTGCCCTTTAGACCGTCATCTCCTCACCTTTGAGTTCGAAGCAATACTCAAAGCAGCCTCAAACTTTGTCTGATCCTCTTCTCGCGAATAACGATCCAATGTAATAAAACGTTTCCGCACCTCTGGCTTAGTCGAAAGCTTGTATAGAAGTGTTCGGAAATGATCATGCGTCCTAACATTTTCCCACGCTCCCTTCGTGTCATGTATGTTAATATATCCAACTACAATACCTGCAATTCCAGCCGCAATAGCGGTTGCAACAGACGTTCCATTTCTAGGACTGAACTGTTGCAAGTGAGATCGCTGGTTCGCAGTTGGAACCTGGACACCTAGCGTACCGAAAACATCGTCGTTCCGCTTGTGAGGGTCATCTGGAAGGGAAGGATTGAAGTCTTCGTGCTTCCCTTTATTGTTAGTACCTCGTATTAAGATTACCGACGGATGATTTGCTGGGAACAGCTCAAGCTTGCTCCCACCTAGATTGGAAGCTGCGGCAAATATCAAGAGGTTCTGGTTTCGATGCGAGAGGGCGTTGCTAATGGCGTTGCTGACTATGCGATTCTCAGCGACATATTGCTCTTGCTCCCATCCCAGAGATAGGGAGATAATGTTGGCCTTTCGCTCCTCGATAGCCCATGTGATAGCCTACAATGTCTAGGTTAGCGGCAAACTCCATCCGCGGGGTGTCCAGCTCTAGTACCTTGGCAAGATTGTTGCTGGTCCCTCCGGGATCATTCTTCATGTCCTGGTCTCCGGCTGCTATACGTGCAACACAGATGTTCGCAAATGGCGCAATTCGATGAATGATTGATAGCATTGCTGTACTATGTCCGTCTTCGTCCTGTGGGCAGACGCTTGATTGCCAAAAATCCTTCCAAGTACGGTTCTGTGTGTTCGATCCAGAAAGCACACCTAGCCGACGCTTCAATTTGCGATCAACAAAACGTGCTTGGCTATTAAAACCAGTGTCTATAACAGCTATAGTCGGCCTTCTATCGTCGCTGGCGTTGTCGGTAACATGCTTGTGTAACCAAGATGTGGTGATAGTATCTAGCCAGTCCCAAGCCAAGTCACTTCGAATCTTGTCAGCTTATATCTCAGCAGCTGAGGAACCAACTTTTGAAACGCACCTGTCTGTCTTCGGTACTTTGTCAGCACCATCTGTCTGCAGTCCATAGTGGCCTGTAGATCTGCAGCTCTTTGGTGTTCGCGACACCATGTTATCTGGACATGCCATTTCTTGAAACAAGTCGAACAGTGGGCGGACAACGTGATTTCCTAAGGCTGAACGTCTCCCAGTTGCATCAAGTTTCTCTTAGAACAGTGGACGGTCAGAGTCGATCGGTAGACATTCTTCAACAATACGTCGGTATCTGACCTTGTGCTTTTCTGGTAGATCTATGGCCGGCCATGCGCTGTTTGAGCTCACTTCCGTGCAGCAGGATATGCAAATCGCGTTACTCTTCTCAGCATCTGACGAGTCTGCAGGGACAGCAGCGACAGTGTTCATTGCAGGTGTTATTGATCCTATTTGCACTAACAAAAGGCCAAGGTTGAGAACATATAAGTAAGGATGTAAAAATGGTACACCATTGGAGCCTTCGGTATATTCATTCTCGTTCTGTTCCCAAGCTTTTCTTGTGTCTGTGGTGACTTTAAGAAACGGTGCTTGAGAGTCAACACTACTCGTTTTCAGGAGCTGTATTGTCTCGAGGCTCCATGCAGCGTTCATCCACTCTAAGGGGTAGTATTGCCAGACAGCTTTCGATATGGTGAATGCAAGGAAGATCTTGTGTCTTGCAGATAGTTCGTCTCGCATCAGTGCCTCGGAAAGTAACTGTGGTGCGCCTTGCTTCGGGAATATGCTCGAGGAGAAAGAGCCCATGCTCCAGCCATAGCCAGAAGTATCGAATTGCCTGATGACACGTATCTGGAAGCATCTTATGTTCCACGTCAAGATGTCGCAAAAGTGATTCAGAGTCTTGGACAATGCTTTATAAGTCAAAGGCTTGCTCTCCACATCTGTGACTTCTGAAGAAGAGAATTCCAGACGAGCCTTTCCTTTGCGCTCTCTCGGAGATAGTTAGCTATCGTACACAAACATGATGTACGCTCGGACCAACCTGGGTAGCTGAAACTGTACCGGTGTCCAATTATAAAAGTCATCATGCTTGTAAGCAATGACCGAGTCGAAGGAGTCGTATTGGTCATCGAATGTGCCTTGCCCAATACCCGGAAGCCGCAAAGCGCAAAAAACTGCTCGGGCAGACGCATCGCTCCACCTTTTCCCCGGGCACGAACACGGTAGATGTGTGTTGTTGTGAAATATGTTATATAACGCTGTGGTGACCGCACTTGAGTGGCTTTCGAGCTCAAGCTTGCTAGTAGTATGTCGCGTAGTGGAAGACGGGGTGACATGCGAATCGTAACCACAGGCTGTATTACGGATAGAAATACACTCGGCAATGTTCCTCATGGCTGCTTGATTCGATGGAGACTGCGGCTCTGAAATCAGGTTCTGTATGAATCTGCTCATGTTCTGAGCTGCGCTTTCTAGATTGGTCGCATTGCCCTGATGCCTCAGTTGTCAGTGTTACACGGGGTTAGGCTATACTTCTCTATGCTCGGTCCGTACTAAGGCGAGGTAGACTTAAGCGGTAAGCCGTGAGGTTTGTCTGGCGATTCGTAGTGGAAAAGAGTTATCGAAGTTAACCAAAAGGTAAAGACAATCCTATTCTATAAACGATAGAATAACTAGTTGACAATCTGTGTAAGAGATGAACTATTTGAGTTGACCACAACGAGTGTAATAATGAAATCCATCCATCCTTTATACCCATTGTCTCTAGTCCTGTCCTCCCTAGCCTCCTATCCAAGAGGGAGGTTTGGGAGGACCACGGCTTCCCTTGCCTCACTGGCCTCCCGGAGGCCCTGTCTTGGCGGGATGCCAATCCAGTCACGTGATCCCCCCGCGCCCCGCGTCGATCACCAACTTCTGACGAGGACGTGGTTGGCCTTCTACCCCGTCACTCCTCGTCAAGGAGAGAATCCTTTGTGTTACCTGTAACATGTGGGTGGCAAGAGTAGTAGGCGGAACAGCATAGCCGCATAGCTTGCAAAGCAGTACGCTAGAGGGCGCATAGAAAGTAAACAAATCCATAGTTAGGGACTGTACAGTAACTGCAGTAATAGCGGCAAGCAGTAGAAAGCAAGGAAGAGAGATATCAGCAATATAATACGCGTTCTTAGTAGAAAGCAGCGGCTTGTTGACAGAAGAAACGCGTACGCGTTGCGTGCTAGTCGACGCGGGTCTATTGTTGTTGTTGCTGTTTGGCGCCGAAGTAGGATCGAGGTGGAAGCGCATGGGTGTCTCCCACTACCGCAGGTGATTGGCTGAAAACGCCATTGAGGGCTTGATGGCCATGGTCATATATCTTAGGGTCGCTCATTCAGGGTTTCTTAGGGGATTAAGGGCTATAGCCGTTAATCCTCTCGCCCATTAATGATAGAAAAAAACCCTAACGCAACTCAGGGCTGAGTTTCGTTAACGCCCTGGGATAGGGGCCGTGCGCATGGCGCTAGGCCCGGCCGGCCAATCAGCAGAATCCGGGTGCTTGGCGGAGCACTCGGGTTCTGTGGCGCGTTCAGTGTCAAGGGAACCACGGTGGTTACCGTGACAATATGTTAAAATCATACAAGCATGCTGGCTGTAAGCGCTTTGCTAGGAGTAGCTGTATTGTCACGAGGCGGGCGGGCAGGAGAGATAGGTGCACGCGGCTGGTTTGATTCACTACGTACAGACTGACAGTACGGGTCAAGCTATTGACAGGACGTAGCTCAAAGAGCTACAAGCAGAGCAGGTTTTTCTCTACAAACGCTGGGTGCGCTAGCAACACCCGGCATCTGTGCGGCCAATCAGCGCCGAGCAGGTCTTAGCGCGCTGGAACTTAACTCAGCGCCGTGACATGTATCAGTTTGTGATTCTCGGGAGTCTGAGCCGGATGACGTCAATCGCCACTCAAAACCGCGCCACACCCCGCTTGGCAACTGCGACGCGTATCTCAATAGCGTTCGTACCGTACACTATCTAATTCTTCGATCTCGCTTTACGCCGGATTCTCAAATGCGTCCCTCTCAAGCCGCTAATAGGGACCACGAGTTGATTAAATATCTCCAGCTCCTGCCTGTGACCAGTTCGGACGGCCAGTCTCAACGCACCAATGCAGCTCCTTTTTCCTTCAGACTGCGAGAGCGCTCTACTCTACGCGATGCTCTTGTCACGCATGTGGAGCTTCTACGTCTCCGCCTGCGTAAGTTTACGCGTCTCTAGTAGCTTGTAAACACTAATGGCGTGCATAGCCGTCCAAGGAGCTTTCGTGGTGTTAACAGACGGTATTACGCCCTATTTCCTCGCCGGCACTCCCAGGCCTCAATCAAGCGAGGAAGCCGGGTCTCGCGTCGAAAACGCCAGCTGGTTAGGGGCTGCTAATGCCGACCTGCAACATTGGCTTTGGATCTTCCAGCAAACAATTTCTGTCAATACGTCTCCGGCGCCACCAAATGAAAAAATCTTCAGTATACTCTCTTTGAATGAAGATGACCGGTCGTCCAAACTCTCATCTGTATGCCGCGCTCCGCATCTGTCCTTCTACGCAGGGACGCCCATCACTTCTGAACAAGGCACAACCATTGGGGCCGTCTTTGTTGTTGACAATTCCGCGCGAAAGGGGTTTTCTGACAAGGATGGAGAACTCTTAACGGTCACCGCGGAGAAATGCATGGCTCAGCTTGAATCTGCACGCGAGACTGCAGTCCAAGAGAGATGGAAGAGGATGAATGATCAGCTTTGTCGGTTCGTTGGGTCTCGTGCAATTAGGGATCAGCAGCTGGAAGAGCCTCCTTCCCTAGGAAGGATAGATCAACAACGACGCAGGAAGATGCAGATTGAAGAAGTGCAGGCTCTGGCACTCCGACATGGCCAGGACCCTTCAAAAGCAGAAAATGTTGCATTGCCGGAAAATGGCTTCAGCATGGGCGCTGAATCTAATCGACTCATACATGCTGAAATCGAGACAGCCCAACGCGTCGTGAAGGAGGATGAGATACATGAAGCACGAGCTATTACCGCTCAAGCTAATGAGGACAGTAAGCGTAGCAACGGCCAGGGTGAAACTACTTACCGGAAAATCTTCAGAAGAGCTGCGGAATGCTTGCAAGAAGCCTTGCAAGTTGATGGAGTGCTGTTCACTGATGGCCTAGTTGGCTACCATGGTGTCGTCCAACCTATGGTGGAAGTAGAAGAAGAACTGGAACGCGAGATGGTACAAAGGCCACGGAGGGAGCGCTTTCCCGAAGAAAGCATCGGTGATGATCCTTTCTTTCCCGAGTACGGCAGACCACCACCTGATGCTCCGCTACGCCAGCAAGGTAACAGTGGCGGAGTACAAGGCGCAACTACAAGAACGTATACGAGCCCGGAATATCTGAGAGGTATCTACGTCGAGCGTCCCGCTGAGATCCTTGGCATGTCTACGCGTAACTCAGGCTTGGCTCCCGAGCGTAAATTCCTAAACGAAACTACGTTAGGACAAGTTAAACTAGACGAAGGCCACCTACAACTGCTGATGGATAGCTGTCCCGACGGCAACGTGTGGTATTTCCACGATACTACGGATATTTGCTATCTGCTAAGGAACGATATTCTAGTTGAGAACGAATCACTGGAAGAGACACAGCATCTCATTTCGAACTTCCCAGGCGTGCGCCAAATAATATTCCATCCTCTGACGGATCCTGTAAGCCTTAAGCGCCTTGCTGGATGTCTCGCATGGTCCACGCGATCGTTGCCTGTGTTATCAGATACTACGGATCTTCCCTCTCTTCGTGGCTTTTTGCATGTCCTTGAGTCCGAAATATCCAGAATCGACGCATCAGCAGCTGTTAAGCAAAAGGAAGCTTTTATCTCCTCGATTAGTCATGAATTGAGTACGCCATCGCGCCCACTCTAAACACATTTGACATCACATTGATTTCACTAGGAACTCCACTTCATGGCATCCTCGGCTCCATACAGCTCCTTGCGGATACGGATTTAGACCCTTTTCAGACGGGTTTGGCCGACACAATAAATTCGTCTGGCTCGGCGCTTAACGAAACGCTTACCAGTGTTCTATCGTATGCAAGAATCAATCAGTTTGAGCGACAACAACACAAATACCGGCAGAGGCGGCCTCCTGACGAAGATTGGTCCCTTCCAAACAAGATGCACCTTCCTCCAGGTCCAGAGACGGATTTCAAGGGCTTATACGTATGCACGAACATTGCCTTGCTGTGTGAGAACATTGCCAGCGTGTTGGAGGCCGGACAGTCGTACGACAGGCCAGCAGACCAGCGCGACGTTACTGTCGTCGTCGAAATTGATTACGAAGAGAACTGGAATTACTTCACCGAACCTGGGGCCCTGCGCCGAATTGCAATGAATATCATTGGTAATGCGTTGAAGTATACTATGGAAGGTTCGGTAATTATCACACTCGCCGCATCAAAAACTGCTACGGGCGACACTAAGATAGGTGGCGATAATAGTTCACGGCGGACGATTACTCTTACCGTCAAAGACACTGGGAAAGGAATATCGAAGGACTTCATGGAGAACCATCTCTTTGTCCCCTTTACCCAGGAAGACACGACGTCATCACATGGTGTCGGGCTCGGAATGTCCATCGTGAAGAGTTTGGTGTCGTTGCTCGCCGGTGAGATCATAGTGGACAGCGAGCCAGGGAAGGGATCCAAGGTCACAGTCATGGTGCCGATGAGACTCTGCGATTCCAATCAAGACGAAATGGGAAAGCCGGCGCTCGAATTAGAACGATGCACTGCATTCCTCCGTGGGGAATATCTCTCTGTGTTGCTATTCGGCTTTCCAAGCCTCGTTCGCCTAGCTGTTGAGAAATATCTCCGCGAGTGGTTTCACTGCAATCTATTGGTCAGCACTGATACTGCAGAGCCGGATGTGGTATTGGTGGAGGAGGGCAATGACGAGGTCGCTAGTGATGTTGAAAGAACAGCGCAGCGTTATGGTCGGTGCGGTGTCCTACTTAGTATTGCAATGATCGCAGATACACTAGCCAAGCCGATGCGCCCAATCAAAGGGTACAGGAAATGGGAGCGGATTCCACGTCCCATAGGCCCTCACAACCTCGGAAAGGCACTTTCGGCATGTGTCGTCAAGTTACGAGAGCTTCGCGGACATAGAGGCAGCGGCGAGGGAGATGAAAATGATCGTGGACAGTACATCCATGGCAAAGCCGATCACCAGTCGCGAGACGACAAGCGAAGAGTTGAGGAAGGCACACCTAATTCGTCAAGAAAACGATCGCAGGCGTCTCCAGCCATATCGGACACAGCCAACAGCGAGAACGTCCCTTTACCGGTAATGGAGAATACGCTACACAGACATACGGACACACCAAATGAAACAGTTCTTCCAACTCGCTCTGGAAGCTTCGTTACTGGCTCCCAAAGTGAGAACCCGAGCATGGATCCGCTGAACCTCCGTATTCTTGTCGTTGAGGACAATGCGGTGAACAGAAGGCTTTTGGGGGCCTTTCTGAAGAAGTATGGCTGTCGCCATGTCCAATACGCGGAGAATGGTGCATTAGCGGTCAAGATGGTGGAGGGACGTTCGGAAGGCTTTGATGTTATTTTCATGGGTGCGTTCCTAGCTAGTTGTTCCATCACCCCATGTCTTACCCCAACGTTTCCTCTTTCCTACATGCATTTGTATTTTTCACTATCCTGTCATCCAGACAAAGCGACATACTTCTAAAGCGTACGCTGACTCGAACATAGATCTTTCGATGCCTGTTATGAACGGCTTCACAGCTACGCGCGAGATCCGTCGCATAGAGCACGAACGATTCTCCGCCCAACCATCTTTTGATCCCACAACCTCTGCCTACATAGTCGCGTTGACCGGGTTAGCGAGCGACCGCGATGAAGACGAAGCTCTCGCTGCTGGTGTGGACAAGTTCGTCACGAAGCCTGTGCAGTTTGACAAGCTTTCGAGGTTGTTGAAGCAGCGGGAAGAAGAAGTTTCAACAAGTGGACAAGGACAATCGTCCTAAAAGGACCTAAAAATGAATGTTTTCCGGATTGGGGTTAGGCTTCGGTTTATAAACATGGCTTACCTAATGATACCTTCGCGAATCTTGCATCGTACTTTTGCTGAAGACAATGTGACAATGGGAGGGTAGCTGAATAGAGGACGTTGAGTTAGATGGAAAAGTCGGAATTGAGAGAAAGAGACGATTCAAGAGGCGGGTGGTTGTGTATAGGCTCCACTCCAAGCACGCAGGGCTGAAAGCATGTGGCGAAGTGAGGCTGATGCAGGCATCCTTGGGACTACGCCATCGTCGAAAAGTGTGCGAACACCTTGATCACACTAGCAGGGGGTGGCCGAGCCGCACCGGCCGCAGGGTTGTAGCATGTTGCCACTGCAGTAGGTATTCGTGAGGTTATGTTGTTGCCAAACCATTATCTCAAAGTTTGAGATTGAGGCTGTGATCCAATACAGATCATGTTGAGCTAAGCCTCGTAAGGCATCCCTGCGGCCCCACCGCTCGAGCCACCCGCACTGCATGTATAAGATAAGCTGCCAAACCCATCTCCTCGCTTAGTGTAAGATACTGCTGCTGTTGTGTTTTCTGCGCTCTGGTTCTTCTCCCATTCTTACGGTGATAGTGGGTGGATGCAGGAACCTCGTCTTGTGTCGACAGCAGGGGATGCACCTCGGATCCCGCACGATCGATCAGTTCCGTTAGTGCTTTCGTGACTATGCCGACGTCCTGCCTGTTCTGCATAGCTGTTGCTGTGAGGACTGGAGTAACGGACAAGGTGGAGGAGCGCCGATCTGCCCACATTGGCGGTTTGCCAAAAATAGACGGCGCTGGGGCAGGGGTGCCGCATGACTGGCGGTGCCCATTTTCAGGCCCCGCACGGTCGCTCAGCGGCAGCCGCCGCCGCTGCTACTGCCTGCTCGCCATCCGCTGCCCCCTACCTCGACATACGACGATGCGCACTCCCGTACTCGAGACCTGTTGAAACGTGAGCGTTGTTCTGCATCGAGGGCTCCACGATGCCTGTGTCGCACGATGCGTCTCTTGCAGTTCGACCAGCATGGCGGTCTTTGCCTGACCAAGGACCTGAGCGATGAGGAGCTTGCCTCCCACCCTTACGCTATCCTCTCGCATACCTGGGGTAAAGACGAGGAAGAAGTCAGCTTTGCAGACCTGAACAAGGATTCAGCGACAACGAAAGTTGGATACAAGAAGCTTCGATTTTGTGGAAAGCAGGCTGCCAAAGATGGTCTGCGCTACTTCTGGGTGGATACATGCTGTATTGACAAAAGCAACAACGCCGAACTTTCGGAAGCCATCACGTCGATGTTCTGTTGGTACGGCAGGGCAGCTAGATGCTACGTGTATCTCTCAGATGTGCCGACAAGGACTGGCTGCTTCACCAATGTCTCGTCACAGCCATGGGAACTAGCATTCCGCAGCAGCCGATGGTTTAGGCGCGGCTGGACGCTTCAAGAGCTCCTCTCCCCCAGATTTGTCGAGTTCTTCGATTCGGATTGGATTCGTTTGGGCGACAAGGAGTCTTTAGTGCAGACACTTCACGAGATCACCAAAGTTCCTCATCGTGCTCTCCGAGGCGCCCCGCTGGATAACTTCAGCGTGGAAGAGCGAATGTCTTGGGCAAAAGATCGTGAGACAAGGCGCGTGGAAGATACGGCGTACTCCTTGTTGGGTCTGTTCAACGTCAGCATGGTGCCAATCTACGGCGAGGGCGAAGAGAGAGCCTTCGCACGGTTGCAACGGGAGATCCATGATGGTGAGTGATTCATTTTGGCGCTTTGGTCTTATCTGGCTGCAGTATGCCTGGTCTCTACGTTGACTTGATGAAAGTACAGACGACTTTATTGCTCGCCTTCCGTACGCTCCTGACGCGCCTTTCAACTCGAACACCTCTCAGCACGAGGCTACCTGCCTTCCTAACACTTGGGTTGATCTCTTGAAAGAATTATACTAATGGGCAGATGGGGAGGGTGAGCAGTACATCTTTTGGCTGAGCGGCATGGCCGGCACTGGCAAAACAACAGTTGCACGTTCGGTCGCCCGCATGTACTATACAAAGCAGCATCTCGGTGCCAGCTTCTTCTTCTCCAGAGGCGTTGGCGACGCTAGTTGGGCGGGCAGATTCGTTACCAGCATTGCGGTTCAGCTGGCGCGAAGCGTGCCTGGCATCCGTCGTCATATCAGTAATGCTCTTATACAACGTCCTGAGATCGCCAGCTAGTCGTTGCGCGACTAGTGGCAATACCTTGTCCTTGAACCGCTATCGAAGTTGGAGAGCCCAGCAACATATGTCCTGGTGATCGACGCACTTGACGAATGTGAAGGCAGCAATGACACGCAAGTCATCGTGCAGCTCTTGGCGATGTCTGGGTCGTTGAAGTATGTGCGGCTGCGAGTGTTCCTCACAAGCAGGCCTGAGGTGCTGATCTAATATAAGCTGGGACAAGTGCTAGACGCAGGGCGACGAGATTTTGTGCTGCACGAAGTGTCGCCGTCCATTATCGACCACGACATCCAGCTCTTCCTCGAATACAGACTGGACCTGATTGGCTAAGAGAATGGTGAGGAACTCGGCTGGCCGGGCGCAGAAGTCATCCAAAGCTTGGTTCGAAGCGCAAGTGGCTTGTTTATTTGGGCTGCGACAGCATGCCGCTTTATTAGCGAAGGCTTGTTTGCGGAGGAGCGGCTGCATATGCTTGCCGATGGCAACGATGGTGACAGCGCCGTCAGTCCAGAAAAACACCTCAATCAACTGTACCTGACAGTTCTGCAAAAGTCTGTTCAAAGCAGCTATATTGCGCGAGAGCTAGCTAAGTATCACATCATGATGCGGCAGATTCTTGGGAGCATTGTAGCTTTGTCTTCGCCTCTCTCCGTCCTATCGTTAAGCATGCTTATACAGATCCCAGAGCAGAGGGTCAATCGAATGCTGAAAGAGTTGCATGCCATCCTTGACATACCCAAAAGTCAAGACCAACCGCTCCGTCTGCATCACCCTTCGTTTCGCGACTTTCTTTTCAGCAAAGACAGATGCGTCGACGTGAACTTTTGGGTAGACGAGAAGCAAGCGCATTCTGCTCTGGCCGGCAATTGCATTCAGCTGATGTCGAGCACGCTCAAGCAAGATATATGTGACATGAAAGCTCCTGGTACACTAGTAGCTGATGTGGAGAAGGACCGTGTTGCACGGTGCCAGAGTTCGCAACAAGCAAGTTAAGCAAGTTTTGAGGCTCACTTGACTTGCTTGGGACGATTTTGCGGTAGTAACGAAACTTGCTTGACTTGGAAGCGGTATTAGCACAACTTGGTTGGTAAACTTCCATAACTTGGGTAACTTGGGTAATTATTATAGTTAACATATATGCAGATTACTGCGGGTGCGCCTCCCAGTTGCACAGATCATACTCTCCCTCCAGCAGCGTCTCAGAACGCGTTGCCTCTAGTTTCTCGACGATCCCTGGAGTTGGACGTTCGAATCCAGCACGTGTCCAAGCTCGAATGCACTGCAGTGTAGCTAGTAGTTGAGCTCCTATTTTGCGTCTCTTTAGCTCTAATAGATCACCGAGCTCGCTGAACAATCGCTCGCACTCGCAGCTGCTAGCAGGTATCGTTAGAACGTCAAACGCCAGCCTAGCTAAGTTGGGATACTTTGGTTGTAGTTCAATCCAGTAACGGATAGGATCACAGCCTTGAGTGAACTGCTCGCGCGTCCATTTTGGCTCAAGCTTCTTCCAGCGTTGGAACTCGTCGATATCCTCGTCGTCGCTGCTATCGTCGGCGTCAGCTATCGCGGCGATAGCGTCCTCGAGCGCGCTTTGTAGTGGCCTAGGAGTAGTTTGTACAGCGTTAGTTGGCTTGTATTGCTGCCAAAGCTGCTGGAAAGCTACGTTGTTAGCGTGTAACCACTCTGGCTTTGAGCGCCAGCTGCGATCGCAATAGCGTTTGTAGTACGGATGGAGTATTGTTGCGGCGTAGTAAAATGGTGAGCTATCAAGCTTAGAGTAGTAGGTGTTGGCTTTAGCCCAGGCGGCGCGGAGGTTGATGGGCAGATGATCCTCAGGAGCGTTGATCTGTTCGTAGTTGACGTGATTATATAGTTTAACCCGCTGCTCAAGCTCGTGTAGTAGCGTTTCGAACACCAGTATTACTGAGTATAGGGCGCCAAATTGACCTGATTTACCGCGCCCTTTAAGCTGTTTAGTGGCCTGCTTAAGTGGTTTCAACACCTCTGTATACTCCGATATCACCGCCCAATCTGCGGCTGTAAGGCCGTCTAATCGCATCCACTTTGGTACGTCAGGAACCCTGTTGCCGCGCCTCTTAGCGATATCGTCGAGATTGCGCGTGTGCTAGATGTGATAGTTGGCGTAATTGCTCACAGCGTGCTGTAGTTCAATAGCCCGCTCAAAGCAGCTATAGAATAAGTTCCAACGCGTAACAACAGGCTTAATTAGCTCTAATATCGCCTTCTGATTGTTTGTGGGGAGCTCGGCGTTAGTAAGGAGCTGGAAACGGTTGAACAGATCGTACTGTTGGGGCGTTTTAATATAGTTAATCACGTCGATAAGTACGCCTAACGGGCCATCCTTGCGCCAATTCGTCATCGATTCCTCTTCCTCTGCGCGCTCCGCTGCGTCGTTATCGTACGAATCTAGATCCTTACCAAATATAATAGCCTGGCCGATGAGGTTAAGCGTATAAGGGCCACAGCGTAGGCGCTAGTAAGCTGCAGTAAACCCGTACTACCCAGCAAGATAGGTAACGGCTGTGTCGTTAGCGTACGCGTTATCAAGGACGAAACAACCAAGCCTTAGCGGCGATATCCCAAACTTCTGCAACGTTTGACCAACAACCTCAGCAATCCGTTCCCCAGTATGGGCGCCTGTTAACTGCGGCAGCGCGATAGGCATGTCGAAAACCGTCCCTAATGCGTCGGCGTAGTGCGCAACAATCCCAAAGAAGCCCCGCTTGCCTCCCTTTGTCGTCCACCCGTCAAAGCTTATATGGATTTTGCTAATAGCTTTAGACAGCGCAGTAACAACCAGGGGTAACATGAACTCATATAGCCGTATTGCATACGCCTTAACGCTGTTAGCGCTCGTCCACAACGCACTCTCTGCTTCAGGGCTTGCGAAGCCTATCATCGATCGGAAAGCAGGTGTTTCAAGCTCGCAGAGAGGGTGGTTGTTCTCAATAAGCCACGTAACAGCTGCGTAGCGGAAGGCCTGTACGTCAAAGTTGCCTAGCTCATTAACTAGCTCCTAGCTAATTGCTACACCAGATCCAGTCACCATCGCAAGCGATCGCTAGCCAAATGCTCGCTTTGTCGCTGCTTGTAAGCCGATTTTTGTGAAGTTGTAACCTGCTTTCGGTTGCTTAAGGTAAGTAATCGCGGATGTAGTTGACTGCGTAACCTTAAGGACACTATCGTGTGAGCGACGCTGATGGCAGAACTTGCAGATAAAGTAGATCTCATCAGTGTTACTGCGCAGCGCAACTCGATATCCATGGTTGTATATCCAGCTTTTTTGGCGCTTCTGTAAGCGCAGAGGCTTGCAAAAGCGCGACAATCGACTCCAATTAATGCCGTCAAAGTTGTCGAGGAAACGCTCATCAAACGAGCTATCGACCTCGCGATTATCGTTGGCGGCGCTAGCTACCGTAGCAGCGTTGGAACCCTCGATAGGCGGTACAATAGCCTCGTTAGGCACGGCGTTAAGCAGCAACAGGCTCTCGAAAGGGTGCTGTTCGGTAGCCTAGGACGCTGCGTCAGCCAAGGCTTTGCGTGGTGATTGCCGCTGAGGTAGCTTAGGTGCTAATATTATCAACGAGCTTTGCTAAGTATCAGCTAGCTCTAATAGCTGCGTATTGGTACCTGTACCGCAGGTAACGCGCACGCGTTTGGCGGGCTGTTCAGCAAGTCCTGCGCTACGTTTAGTACCTTTAGCGGCTCGTTGAACAGGCATAGAAGGCAGTAAAAATCAATAATAACACAGTAGCTCGAAAAGACTGTAATAACACACGCTAATATAACAATAGGTGCAGAAGTAGGTAGTAAGTGTTAACGCTACGTGTTAGGGCGCGTAAGCTAACTACGTACCGTATCGTAAGCATAGGCCCACCTACTGCAACACCAAAAATCCTATCACAATTTTATTTTCCTGCCACAACAAAAATCTTATTAGGTTACTCAAGTTATTCAAGTTTACCAAGCAAGTTTTCTAGGTAAACTTGACTTGCTTGATGTTTTTATGTAGATGAACTTGACTTGCTTAACTTGGTGCCAAGCCAAGTTAAGCAAGCAAGGCTTGCAAGTTACTTGCTTGTTGCGAACTCTGCTAAAAGGCAGCTTGGCTGAGCGTCGTAAAATTTGGGTTTCAGCTAAACACAGCCACCACAGCCACCACAGCCACCACAGCCACCGCCACAAGTGAATAAACCAGGTCCTTCATTGGGGCCATGGAATGGTTGAGGGCGGCTGTGTAGATGATATGAGCTCTAGTCTTCTTCGCGTTATCGGCAACCCGAATTACTTAGAATGACTAGCTGACAGCATTCAGCGTCAATTTCATTATTGATGCTTTACCGCTGGGACGATTCTTGTCTGACCAACCACAAACTTTTCAGCATGTTTCTGAGAGACCTGTTTAAGTGGAGTAGAGACGCTACACCACACCCTCAGCCCCAGCAGTGGCGTTCGAATGAGTACTATTCGGGATCACCCACCGATCCTCCTCGCGTCGATGCATTTGCATTTGCATCGAGCCCCCTCCCCGCCCGTAAGAACAGTAATGGAGGAGCAAACATGTCTGAGCTAATGAATGTGTGAGGAATAGACGTAATGGGAACTTCCCATTATCTCTCTCCATCTGCTCCTGGAGACGGAGTTGTGGGAAGACCTAGTAGTCCAAACACAGAAACCCCCAAAACCGAGGACGATCTTACGAAAGCCCAAGTCAAACAAGCCCTATTACCGGACCAGAAAGACGATCCAGAAGGAGTGCTGGATGACAAAATAACTCTTGGGGTCAGCCAGTCTCGGTCCGAGCGAATCAAACGACTTAAGCCTCTACCGCCAACATCCATGGTGGTCGAGCCATTTGGCGGACTAAAAAGCCCTCTAATAACGACGTCGTACCATCTAGGACTTCCTAACTCCTACACACCTAGCGAAGGCACCAGCAGCTCGAATGAGAAGGAAGATGTAACTAAGAAGCCTACCTGCAGTCTCAATCTGGTCTGCTATAGTAGAGGGTGCGTGGTGAGCCAAATACAGGTGACTATGCCAACTAAGTTCGAAACCAAAGAAGACTACGACAAAACTATGGCAAGATATCCGAAGATAATTACTTCCGACGAAGGACTATTCAAGGCCCTCAGAGACAGATACCAGAACAAGATGTGTGGCTTCTGGAGACGTTGCTTTTCCTTGAAAACTCTCAAGTGCCTAAGATTGCTTTCAGTACGTTACCATTTACCCCCTTGAAATACTAGGAATTGAGTGATGTGTAGTATACATTGGATACGCGGCCATCCGCTGTACCATTTGACGAAATGACCATGCAAGAGGTCCTCTATGCATACAATCATCCATCTGAATTCGGCCCCGAAACGGATTGGGTCGAATGGATATTTCGACTACGACAGCCGGACAAGCGTCATGCGCTTGAGTTCGTTGAAGGGTGGAATCGAACTCGAATTGCAATTCTTGGCGTCATTCCTTGTATTGCGAGCACTCTTGTTGGTGTGATATGGAGCTCACGAGGTGGAGACGTGCAGACAGCATTCACTGTGGCTGCATTCATCTTGACACTTGCTACAGGTAAGTTGAGGATATGATGGCTACTTTGGTCAAGCTGATAAGTTTAGTTCTTCTTGCGCTGTTAGCCGTTATCAGTGGGATAGATTCAAAGCCCAGATAGTCGACGGTGCATTCGCTTCCTAGACCCTGAGAGACTCTTACCCTGCCGGTTTTCTCGAGAGCAATCGTGTGAGCGACGAAGAATATCTCCTATTATTACTGACTTTGCTGTTGTTGTACCAACGCACTCCAATTAACGAACACCGTCATCATAGAGATACCTTACTATGTTAAATATCTCTCTTCTATAGAGGGAGACCAGGAATTAGCATGAATATATAACCTATGAATTTGCCGCAGCGAAGCTTCGAGCATCCTCTAGATCAAGTAACATGGTCATTCATCGAACTACGTTTGGAAATTCGCCACTTCAACATTCTCAGGAGTAGACGAACGCCTCGATCACGCTAGCAGGGAAGATGGCCGATCCGCTCTGGTCGTAGGGTTGCCATGAACGTCCGCACTGGATGGCATTGCGAAGAGATTATAAGGGTCATTATCGATGACAGGACGGCATGCAGCCTTAGCTACGGTAGTACCTTACTAAGCACAGCTACCAAGGCAGGGCGAGGTTGGAAGGCCCTGGCGTATAGCTTACGTCAACGAACACACCCCGCATCGAAACTGTAACCCCAATCCCAATCACCTTCCGATACAGCCATCGTACGACTTCGAGATGCAGTGCAATGGACGACTATAGCTAACGCGAAAGCTTAGATGCCATAGAGATCAACCATCGCGCCGCCCTCCAGCTCCGCAGACCCTCCATTAATTCCTCGTCCGACCCAGCACGTCCTCGTACTTCTCGAGCACATCACAATCGATCTATATACAAACAGTAGCTAAATATTGATTCAATAGTTAAAGGGCAACATCATGAGTTGGCTGGGGTCTAAAAAATAGGGTTGGCAGGTCTCACCCAGCGGGCATGGCTGGGGACAAAGACCAACTGAATGGCTGATGGTGGCGTAAGTCAAGGGTCTATGGTAGTGCGCACACCACCCTTATGGTTCGACCACTCACATCCTTTATCCTAAGTTACCCCGCTCGAAACAGCTTCGACTGCGCTGAGGGTGATCAGATACAGTACTGGCGAGCGAGGTTTGTCTTGATTGGCCGCGGAGCCAAATTCCCGCTAGCAACCTCCATTGATATGGACCTCCCTTAACTTTATCACAAATAAGCTCCCCTCGCGCCAACCCGTACGAAGTTTAGCAGGGATGTTCAGCTCTGACAAACATGATAACCGATTGAGACGGCGGAGCGGATGCTGCATAGTAATAGTAAGACCCACTGTTTATAGTCCTCCAGCAGATGCTTTACTTGAGCTGAAATCAGCTTCCTCCACTCGCTCGAATTCCCCACATTCCCACTATTTGCCCTGTCTCGATACAAAAAATGGTGGTAAGTTATTAGATCATGTTCTCTGGCCCTTTGCAGAAAAGAAAGCCGTCTCACATGTCACATGTCATAGTCTGTAAGCGTCACGTTTGAGTACGTCACGGGTCTGAAGCGATCCATATTTCAGAACCCGCGTTTGAAAGGCAGCTGGGATAGCAATGGCCGATATTCCGAGCAATGGACGGAGAGCCCTATGGCGACGATCGTTGGCCCTGATGGCTGCCCCGTGTTCACTACTTCCGTTTCATTGGATCTGGCTGATGTTGGTACAACATTCCGATGGGGTGTGGTTCTAGATGGTAATGGGCTCTCCAACTTTTGGGGGGTCCCCACAGAGGTCAAGGATGTCAACTCCGCGGAGCGGTATCTGAAATTTCAGATTCAGGGGCCCAATACAGAAGCTCCCATTCAACAAGTCGAACGCTACTACTTGACATATTGCCGTCGGCTCGGCGCCAATAGACGCATTCCAACGGGGGTTGGAGATCACTTGCTACACTTTGCCGTCTGGGCACCAAACGCGCAAGCAGTATCCGTTGTCTTCGGTTATCTGAACCAGGGCCACATCGATGACCAGGGCATAGGGATCAACAATGCGTGTCCAGAGGTGGTCCTGACCCGATCGCGAGACGGGGTTTGGGAGGGCAGCCCAGAACATCCTTACAACACTTTCCAGGGCCTCCCTTACATGTATAAAGTTCGCAACAAACAGGGCGAGCTAGTTTACCGCACCGATATCTTCTCGCGCAGCCAAATTGGGAAAGGTGATCAGGAACCACCGCACTGGGATGGCAGTGTTGAGACTTTGGATGGCCTTCTCAGCTGCAGCGTTGTCATTGACCCTGATGTGATAAGGGAAGAATTTGAATCGACAGCGCCCAATCTTATCGCCGCTGAGGAGTTCTGGGCAACTGAGTTTTCGCATGGCCGGGCAGTTCCGACAAATTTAAACGATCTGGTCATCTACGAGTTACACATCGGTTCGCTCGGTTTTGGAAGGGCAACGAGCGGCGACTTGAGCGACGCTATTGAGTTTCTGCATCATCTGCGCACACTCGGAGTAAATGCGGTTGAGCTGATGCCCATGGCAGAGTTCGAGGGAAAAGTGGGCTGGGGTTATGGAAACACCCATCACCTCTGCGTGGAGTCAAGCGCTGGTGGTCGTGACAAGTATCGCCATTTCGTGCGCGAGTGTCATCGGAATGGAATCGCCGTCATTCAGGATGTGTGTTATAATCACTACGCTCAAAAAGCAACCCGCGCTGAATGGACTTACGACTCCACGCTTGCAGAGGACAATATTTACTATTGGTATGAAGGACGCAGCTCTCAGTATTCGGATTCGTCTGGAGGCTATATCGACAACGGTTCGAGCGGGTACACTCCGCGATTCTGGAACGAAAACGTTCGCCAGCAGTTCATCAGTAGTGCAGCTTTCTTGATCGAGGAGATGCACGTCGATGGACTCCGCGTTGACCTGACGGATGCCATTCACCGGGACAATAAGCTTCACGCTGATGGGCGCGAGATTGGCCATGCCAATGTATTCGGGCAGAAGTTTCTGCGTCAATGGAGTCGAACCCTGTATATGATCAAGCCGTCAGTGATGCTGATCGCGGAAGATCACACACGGTGGGATGCAGTCACGAAACTACCAGCACAGGATGGACTCGGATTCCAGGCAAGGTGGGAGGTTGAATTCTACCACAGCCTTATAGGCGATTCAAACCATTCAGCAGGTCGGCCTCGGCTGCTTTTGAATGCAGGATTCGGTGGAAACAACGCGCTCGAGTTCGACAAGTTCTCGGAAACTTTATACAATACGCAATATCGTCGAGTGGTTTTCCCCGAATCACACGACGAAGCCGGTAACGCTGAAGGGACTGCTCGCACCATATTGGTCGCCGTGAATCATGCGCCTGTGTTTGGTCCAACACGCACTGTGGCCGAGGCCCGGTGCCGTCTGTGCTACGGTCTATCACTTCTCTCTGCAGCCACCCCCATGTTCTTTATGGGCGAGGAGGTGGGCGCTCAGCAGCCCTACAAGTACGAAGGCTTCATCCACCACCGGGAAGACATCATCGAACTGCGAGATGGGATAGGTGCATCCATGTTTCACTTCTACCGGGATCTTATCAGCCTACGAAAAAGGCTAGCCTCCATTCGATCCCACAACATCGATGTTCTGCACCAGTCTAATAGTAACCGAGTGATTGCGTTCAAGCGATGGAGTGGTAACGAGGAGGTAATTGTAGTGGGCAGCTTGAACAACTCAGCGTTCAGCAATGGATACACGGTGTGGAAAGACGCTACGGCCATTCCCAATGGGACCTGGAAAGAGGTCTTCAACAGCGACTCAGCGTTCTATGGCGGTCAGAATATCGGAAACTACGGACAGGCAATTCAGGTGACTACCAACCGTCTTAATGTTGTTCTACCTGCAAACAGCTTCGTTGTGTTCGTAAAGCAGTAGTAAACTAGAATGTATTAAGTTGTCGTCTTTACAGCAAGGAAATTTATGAGCGTCTAGTACGTCTAGACATAATAGAGATATCTAAGATTATCTACGTGCTTTTTAGTTGTTCCATTAATTATTATACTCTACATATAAACTAGTTACTATAACGTATTCCATCACCGAGAGCGACAAACCACCAAAAGCGACAAAACTTGCCAGGACCACAACCACGTCAACAATCCTATTATGTCTCAACCACACAACGCGTTACTAGAAGAACACGAAGGTAGGCTCCAGCTTGCCCTTCAAGCCTATAGATTAGGCCATTTCCGAAGCCATCGAGCCGCTGCTAGAGCATTTAACGTCAAACACCATACTCTCTCTAAACGCGCTAAAGGAATTCCATTTCGAGTCGAAACACCTACAAATTGCCAGAAGCTGACTGCAACTGAAGAGCACACGATCGTCCAATATATTCTCAACCTTGACTCACGGGAATTCGCGCCCCGACTGTGTGAGGTGGCAGACATGGCGGATAAACTGCTGGCTGTACATGGCGGACAACCAATAGGCAAGCGATGGGCTGAGCGGTTTGTAACACGTTCGGCTGAGCTCAAGATGGCTTTCAATCGAGCAAAGGACCGTCAGAGGATACTACAGGAGGATCCTCAGGTTATTAGCGCGTGGTTTCAGCTTGTTGCGGATACCAAAGCTGTTGACAGGTCTAGAAAGTACGGTGATATCTGATCGGAGAGACAGAAATTCTAGACTTTCGGTGAGACCGAGAATATCGAATTGACCGTCGGCCAGACCGAAGAGCTGAAGTTGAGGCCGTAGATATAAAGGAGCAGGTTGCGCTCTGTAGAAGAGAGAGATAACTCAAAATAGAGATAATTTCAAGTCTATTGAGAATTGCATCACATATGCCATGTATTCGAGTTCTCATACCGACACTGAGGAAGAGTGGGATGGCTTTTGTAGTGCATTGAAAGAGTGCTGGCGTCGCATACCAACCAAGCTGATCAGGCGCCTCATCATGAGTATGCCACGACGAATTGCTGCATGTAAGAAAGCGCAAGGGTGGCAAACAAATACTGATCATACGCGCAACTTTTGGCCAAAAAATAAATCATTTATCTTATACAGTGGTTGAGATACGTGGTGTCGAAGTTTTGCGTACATGTGCCGGTGGTGATGGCTCGTGCGCTGGTGGAAGAAACTTTATTAAGTTACTGTGACTGTATCGCTCCGAATTTTCGTAGAATAGCCTTGTCCGAGCCTCAGAACATTCTTCTAATGCTCAGAAGCCATCATCAGCCTAGTGTGCGCCGTCGCGGGCAAATTCATGCAGGGCCGCCATGTTGATTGGTACTTCCAACGGAAGCGAATCTCCAATCCTGGCTAATTATTGGCTTGGGATTGGAAGCAGTGCCAAGATCCGCACGGCCACGGCGCTTGTCAGTCAGCCAACGTGTCTCCAGCGTCGAACCAGCTTCGACATCGCTATCCTACGCACTTCGAGATGCGGTCCCAACGCACGATGACCCCGATAGCTTCCTCGCCCTCAAGCTCCAAAACCCACTGTTGTTCTCTCCGCTGACCGAACGAAAGACCTGATCAAGCCCACCACGTCCTCATGCTTCTCGAGTCCACCGGCGCCGATTCCTAGACCAAGCCGCAACGAGCTCTAGTCTCGGCTCGTTGAAGGGGAATACGATGTGATGGGAAGGATGTAAGATAAAACAGAACGCGGCGGGCCTGGAAATCGAAGCCTGCGCTTCGACAAGTGGTTTCAACCGAGCGCTACTGGCAAAACGCCGTCGTTGCAAGCGCATATGTTTTGGTGATTCAGCTGTCGTACGGCCAAACAACCAGCGACTCTTTACATGGGCACTGCAGTCTCTAGGGCCGTAGAGAGGTGCTCCAGTTCGACCTTTGAGGGTCGTGAGGAGTTTTGGATTGTTCGTGTTTGTGAGGGATGAGTACTAGCAGAGCTGTAATGTTGGCCATGCTTAGCAAGGCACTACACTATCCAGAAGCTGTATACAGCACTCTTCTCTTCAGCCATATCTAGAAAACGTCGCCTCTGGCGCAACCCTATGGCCGGAGCGGGTCGGCTATCTTCCCCGCTAACGGTGGCGGTTAGATGTTGCTTGTGGGATACACTTATATAACCATGTGATGCTAATCCCTACAGATCAGCCTTAAGCTCGGGTATAGGGAGTTCGCGCACCCCCACCATAATACTCCATCTTATCTTCTACACGCGAATTTTCCACAACGCCAAGCCTAAACAACCTCCCAATAAGCAGAATATACAATCTGCTATCGCTAGTTTTAATGCCGGCAAGTTCTCTGCCCTGCGGGCGGCGGGTCGCGCGTATGGTGTCGCTAAAAGCATGCTGCGCTCACGCGTCAAGGGGACAGTACCATGCGCGATCGCCCATCAACACCAGCAAAAAGTGAGTCCGGATGAAGAGGAGTTTCTTGTAAACTGGATTCTCGATGAAGACTCACGAGCTCAGCCGCCATCTCACGCTCGAGTTCGAGAGATGGCTCTCATAATTATACTCCAGCACGATGAGCACCCGCACCCGGGCAACGCTTGGGTCACCGCCTTTCTCTCGCGGCAGCCACGAGTATCATCTATCGTCGGCCGATTGATTGAAGTCGCGCGCGCTCGCGCTGCCGATCACGCGACAATCAAAGCGTTTCTCGAGCTCTTTGAAGCTACCAGAAAGCGTCTCCATATACGGCTCGAGGATAAATAGAACATGGACGAGACGGGCGTCGCGCTGGGTGTATGTAGCAACTCCCAGGTCACCGCGAACTCTAAAAAACGCAAAGCTTACGTCAAAACTCTAGGTGATGGCGAGTGGGTTTCCATTATCGAAGCCATCTCAGCGACGGGCAATAAGCTGCGCCCACTCGCCATCTTTAAGGGCAAAAACCTCCAAACGACATGGTTCTCGCCGCGATCCATACCCAACTGGTTCTATACAACCTCAGAGACTGGATGGACGTCTGAAATAGCCGGGTTGGAGTGGCTGCGACGCATCTTCGTGCCAGAATCGCGACCCGATGAGGCGCGAAACCGGCTACTTCTCATAGATAGGCATGGCTCCCACACCCAAATTGACTTCATATGGGAGTGCCAGCAGAGCCGTATTTTCGTTCTTTACTTGCCCGTCCACTCTTCTCATGTCCTCCAGCCGCTAGATCTCGCTCCATTCGCCGTCGTCAAGTCGAAGTATCGCAATGAGATCCGCGCCCTCTCCGCCCTCGATGACGCTGCGTCAGTCAAGAAAGAGCGCTTCATGAGCTCATACAACAAAGCTAGAGAGGATGAGCTATCGGAGCGAGTAATCCGAGCTGGCTGGCGCGCCCCCAGGCTTTCGCCATACAACCCAGAGCTCGTTCTGTCGTCATCACAGATTACAGGTCGTCCGAGGACACCGCCAGGTGCTGTATCGCTACAGAGCGCGATAGCCAAGGCACTTAAAACACCACAGAAACCTCACGATATACTGGCGGCGCAGCAACTACTCCAGCGATCAAAACAGCTCTCAAATTCCGCCCGGGTCGCGTTCAGTAAGGCGAGCAAGGCGATGGTGATCTGCAGTACGAGAGCAGCACAACTTCAGGCAGGAAATGAGCGGTTACTACAACAACTAGGCAGTTCTAATAACAATATAACGAGAAAACGCATCAAAAAACCTCCAAATGAGATGATTGATACCACGGATGAGATCCGCGCTGCGATTGAAGCCGCCAGTGCTGCGGCGGCTGCCTAAGTAGCAGAGAGGGCGGTAATCGACGTAGCAGCTTCTACTTTACAATCTATGTGTACACATTCTTAATTATAAACGTTGTTGTTGATCTACACCAGTTTTGAACGAGATGCCGATTTTAGTGGGGTGCGCGAACTCCCCATACCCGAGCTTAGTGCTGTTGCCTGCCTCACCAACCTCTCCCATACATTCGCTCGTCAGCACAGTTGCAGTTTTGAGACCGCGTAACTCTTAAACGCCCTCTTTATGTCTACCTTATAACTACCCTAGCCTGAGCTCACTGATAGCCCCCTCGTTATGCGTCTTTTGCAGCTGCAAGATGACGGCCGATTCAGCCTTGTTGACTATATTGGCAACGATGTTCCACCATATGCGATTCTTTCGCATACCTGGGGAGCGAACTACGAAGAAGTAACCTTTCGAGACCTAATAGATGGTACAGGCAAGAGTAAGGCGGGCTATCGCAAGCTCACCTTCTGCGGACAGCAATCTGCTACAGACGGACTACAATTCTTCTGGGTAGACACCTGCTGCATTAACAAATCGAGTAGCGCAGAGCTTTCAGAAGCGATCAACTCGATGTTTCGCTGGTACCAGAATGCCGAAAGATGTTACGTGTATTTGTCCGACGTGTCAAGCAGTACTTCCGACCGGAATGCAAAGTGCTCACGGAGATGGAAGCGCGAGTTCAGGAAAAGCAAATGGTTTACCCGAGGCTGGACGCTACAAGAGCTGCTAGCACCTAGAGACGTGATCTTCTATGACCGAAGCTGGAACATGCTAGGCACAAAGTCAGAGTATGCGCGCTGGATATCTAAGATAGCAGCTATTGATGCGAAGGCACTCGCAGAACCGGAGAGTTCCCATGGTATAAGGGAGAGACTGAACTCCTTTAGCGTCGCCAAAAGGATGTCGTGGGCGTCGCGACGGATCACAACTCGAGCAGAAGACATGGCGTATTGCCTTCTTGGAATATTCAACGTTAACATGCCGCTGCTGTATGGGGAAGGAGAACGTGCTTTTATTCGCCTCCAGGAAGAGATATTGAGAACCTGCAGTGATGACTCTATTCTCGCATGGGGTCTAGACGCTGAAACGCGCTATCCACTAGTGCCAGATCTCGAGCAGTCGTCTTCCCACAGCCCTATCTTAGCAAGCTCGCCCAAGGACTTTGAAAGCTGTGGGAACTTGGTCCGTGCGACAGAACGCGACTCTTCGTTCAACATGACGAACCACGGTCTAGAAATCGAACTTCCTATGGTGCCAATATGCCCACCGCCCTCGAAAAAGGCTCTCACCGGTTCCAATGAACATACTGGTTGGGTTGGGCTGCTCAGCTGTTCACCAGGTACAGACGCTGAGCTCGTCGGTATCATTCTCTTCTTACCCGTCCTGAGTGCCACTTCAAAACCGCGTGTAGGACGAGCGGAGGCTTTGCGCGACGAGTTGTTATACAGCTCTGTGATTGTGGGTCCGAGGGTCGCCGCTCGGTCAGTCCTTCAAAAAGTTACTATTGTCCCAGAAGAGGAAGGCCGAAGATCACGAGGGTACTTCTTGGGCTGTCGTCAGATTATCATCAATGAATCTCAGACTTTGCGAGGCATAGGGTACCACATACGAAATGGAACAGGGTTGAATATTGCCGAGGACAGAGGATTGTGGGGATACAAGCCGTCCTGGGATCCAGAAAAAATGTTGCTCACAATAGAAGACAAGCGCATATCTAAAGATCTGCTGAAGTTCTGCTTCGAATCGCAATGGAACGGGCCACGTACAGCATTTACCATATTTTTGCGAACTGCTAGCAGGAGCGCTATCGTACGGAGAGGATCGTCATTTTCCGAGGAAGACATTCATAGCTTCTACGACCTTCTGGATGAAAGATATCAAGATAATGCGGACAAGACAGTGATCACAGATTCGGAAAACGAGCCGTTTTGGGTTGTGGTTACAATGAATGAGATCGCAGTATATGGCTGGCGCATATTCGAGGTTAACGTCGATGTCCAGCAAGTCATTCCTAGTTCCGGTGTGTAAGAGGAAGCCACTGACTGGACCGATCCACGATTTTCATTTAACCAAAAATTTTACATCTGAAAAGATTATATTGTCGCTCTTGTCCTGTGTGCAACTTGTCCTTACGTGTTCGAGAGAAGATTAGTATCAGCATCGTCAGATGTATTATGCTGGAGATGGAAGAGTAATTACTCGTAGTCTGTGGGCTGGCATGTCTCATCACAGTAGAGAACAACCTCGGATGATTGTTATGGTCTCCTTCTATTTTATGATGGTTTTCAGCTACAGGCTTAGGCTGATGCTCGATGTGCTTACATTATGAGTGATTGTTCCATGAACGCGCCAATAGCGTTTCGAAATGGCCTGACTCGCTCACTTAACGAAAAGATACCGACAGGTGGTAACGGCGTTGCATGAATTATCATCGTATCACCGCCACAGGGCTAAAGTTGGGTTACGAGCATGGCAGCAAGGCTGAAGGGCTTCATGCTACATTTTTGTGACTGCTAGAAGTGGTACAGGGCAAGCGGTAAAACTAGAGGAGAGATGTTCTACCGTTTCTATGAGACAAGGCCCTTCTCAAATCAGGCGCGGAGGCGGCGATAACATTGGTGTTTTTCTACTAGCAGCTGTGAGGAGATCAAGAAAGACTGTTGTACTTGGCTAGAAAAACATTATATAGGTAAAGCTATATAGAAAGTAGTTCTACTGCTTACTGTTCTAAGTACGTATGGTTTTTCTCGTAACACAGTGGTTCTCACTCCGTAGTGGGGGATAGTACATGTCTTCGATCAAAAATCTGTCAGCAATACAACCCTGTGGCTGGTGCGGGTCGGCCACCCTCCCGCTAGCGGTGGCGGTGTTGGACATATATTTATCCTCGCTGTTGGCTGAGAGACGCTTACGTATACAAGCGCCTATCCTATCTGTTATTCCGGCGGCGGTGGAAGATGCTGTGACGGCAGAAAAGCGTAAGAAAAGAGTCGGTGAGGGAAAATGGCAATTGATAACGAAGAGTCACAAGACAGATGGAGCGTTGTCTCAACTGCGAGGCTTGTGGTAAATGTACGACTTCCGTTTCGGCCCGGCAAACACTTCACTAACGACAATGCGCTTAGGTCTCTATCCGGGACACAAAACATCAACTTGCACACATTTTAGTCCGTTGCATAATATTTGAGTCTTTGCTGGATATAATAGGATGCATCACTAAGATATTCTGTTACAAGGCCAAAGACAAGGGCACATAATTAAAGATTGTCCGGGCCGTAGTCGCATGCAAGACTTCCGCGAAGCCTTAGACAAACTTCCAATGACACTCGCAACCCGGACACACTAAACGAGCTGTATCGCGGATTATTAGCCGGTGATCTAACTAGCCATGACCAGAGGGAAGATATGTTATCCCTGTCTAATGGCCTTGAACCAGCTGGTTCAGAGGCTGCGCTTGAGGATCTTGCACGGGATAAACATATCCATCGGAATTGGCAAGTCTCCATCGTCGACCTGGTGTGATCGTAAGTTATGAGCTAGATTAGCGGCACACGGCCACACCAGCCCACCGTCGCAGCACGTGGTACCAGGTCCAGGTTCAAGCCAAGTCCAATACTTGGGGGCGAGACTTTGAGTTTCCTCATGCCAACTGTCGTTACTGGAGATATGAACAAATTGTGTGGGCTTCGATGTCATTGTTGTATTTTGGGCGAATGGCGAAACTATCAACTTCCACTGCATGTAAGGTCCAGCTTTCCTTCCACCTTGGGTTTTGTATTCATACCTATTGTGCCCTATCCTGCTCGTGGCAGTAGGGAGAAATATGCACTGAACAAGTCTTCGAAGAGTTAGGCGTATGATGGCAAGACTCGATCATACAGTCGGCGCGAGATCTTTGCAAGATGTCGCTAGTCCTTTCCTAACGTTTGGAGTCCCAGGTGTTGAGGCTGCGATCTTCTGCAGCTAGCTCAGTAACGTATTGCAAAGCAGTTCGACCAAATGTGTCTTCTTCGTCTGCCTGAATGCCGATGACGTTAACTAGAAACTGCAGCGATTGTTCAGTAAGGGAGCCGCATATGGCGGCACGGTGTAGCACCGTTCTTCCATCATAGTCCCTCTTGACTAGATCGATACCGTGCTCAACAAGAAGTTTCAGTATATGAACCCCAAAGTCGAACGTCCTGGCGCACAGATGTCCAAGGGTTTGCCCGTCACAGTCGACAAACGACACATTACCCTTGATCTCAAGGAGCGACCTGCAGATCTCGAAATCGATTCGCAACATGGAGCTTTTGATGAATCTTGCTAGAGGGGAAATCCCAGAATTATCAAGCTCTGAACCGTCCGCCCCCTGATCAAGTAGCGACCGTACCGTCTCTACGTACTTTATGGAGTCTGTGGATAACATATGGTGGAGCACGTTCTGTCCACACTTGTCCTTCAACGCTACAAGGTTGACTTCCCTCGCCTCTTCTGTCTCCAGAATAGCGATTATGGTCTCGTGATTTCCACTTTGAGCTGCGTAATGGAGTGCATTGAGGCCGTGCTCATCCGTCAATGCCACTTTCGCACCCAAAAGGAGCAGGGTTCTAACTGATACATGATCACCAGCTTTACTGGCAAAATGCAACGGGCTCTGTTGACTTAAGTTGCGATTGAACGGATCCGCTCCTCTCAAGACTAAGTTTTGGACCAAGGTCGCAGTTTCCGGTTTCCCGTATTGGATGCAGTGCAGAGGACTTTCGCCTTTGCAATCCGTTACTGTAAGAGAAATCCTAGGATCTGAAAGCAGTGCATCGAGCACCCCTTCACGCTTGAGAGAGATCTCCGCAAGGACGGCATCAACATCGTCTTCTTCGAAGTCCAAGAAATCCTGTAGACTTTCTGCCCTGAGATACGAATCCGTCCAATCATCTTGATATCTCGTTCCAAAAAGCGTGGTGCGTAGCGTAAGATGTAAAGGAGTTTCGCCATAGTCAGAAAGAGCATTGGGGTCGGCACCATGCTCAAGAAGGAACTTAGTCATCGTAAGATTGCCAGTCAAAGCTGCGAAGTGTAGAGGAGTCAGACCGTTTGCGACTGATCCTGAAGCTGGAAGCATAGATTCCTCTTTACCAGAGATTGATTTGCTGACTTCGCTAGGCCATGCCTGTCGATGAACTCTTGAGTCAATCGGTACTCCTGCATCGATGAGTTGCCTCGCCATGGTCTTGTATCCGAATTTTACGCAATAATGCAACGGAGTCATGTTATCAACGTCGATTGTGTCTAATGGAGCGCCATATTGCTGCAGCACACGGACCAGCGAAGGCATGCAACTTCCATTGTTCAGAGCATGATGCATGGCGCCTTTCAACCGTAAGTCCAGACCAACATTGGCACCTCTTTCAAGCAACATTCTGACTGTGGTTTCATGTGTGCCTACAAGAGCGGCATGCAGTGCGTTGCTGTAGTGTCCACCCTGGGCGTTGACCGCAGCATGAGCACCAAGTAGTAACTTCGCAATCTGCTCGTGTCCTTTAGCTGAAGCAGCCTGGAGTGCGTTCCCGTAGACTCCACCCTGCGCGTTGGCGTCGGCATCCTTATCGAGCAGCAACCTCACCACCGCTTCGTGACCTTCCCATGAAGCCGCTTGGAGTGCGTTGCCGTAGTGTCCACCCTGCACGTCGACGTCGGCGCTCTCATCAATCAGCAGGCTTACCACTTCTTGTAAACCAAAGAGTGCTGCATAGTACAACGGAGCTGGCGTTTCCTCTAATCTTCTTCCCAGATCGGGCTCGCTCCAGGGTCTCTCCGGATCATGTATTCGAATCCAGTTCAAGTACGCAGCATTGTCCCTTGACAGCAGATGAAGTGCAGCCTGGCTCGTTTCCGCTGCTCGATCCCCTGCTTTCTGTGCGTGGCTCAACCAGAACTCCGCCGAGTACCGTGCTAGTTTGCATTCGCCCAACGTATCCTCCATCATGGGTTCGGACTTCTGGAACTGACCAAGGTATCCCAGACACGCTCTAGCTATCGTACTGTGGCACGCCGCAGGTTGCATGCTGTATCGCGCTGCCTGGCCTCGCTGGATCCTGTCGGAGACGAGGTACTCCTTGACGGAGTAGTGTGCAAGCACAACGACTTGCATGGTTGACTGCAGCCTTCCGTTACCGTTGTCTGTTGCGATGGTAACAAGACTAGAGCAGATGTCTAGGGCCTCCAGAGGGTCTTCGAGCACCTCATCTCGATTGAATGCAGGATCGCGTGCCACGTCGATAGCGACCACCTCTGCGACTTCGTCTACCGTGAGCGGTCGCTCTGAGAATGCCAGCCATAGCAGCACGCGGACGGCGTACACGGCATCTTCTGCAGCAATGGCACATAGGATCCGGTCGTACGTCTTGTCCAGTGTCGGCGGTAGTGTTGCCAGTGCTTTGCGCAGGTCTGCTCGGTTGCGACACTTGCCCAGCGTGTCCAGCTGGCACACGGCCCATCGGAACCTAGCACAGCCATCAGCGTCACACGTTCAAGAACTTGTCAAGAGACTTACATTCCCTTGGAACCTTCCATCAGAGCCGTCTCGATCTCTTGCCGGAGGAAGACGTCTTTGCCCCACTTGCTCAAGCCCTTGTCGTCAGAAAGCCTCTGCCGAACGTACTGCTGTATGTCTTTGTCGACTATGTCGCTTTGGAGACAGATACTGTTCCGTACATCCACAAAACCTTCGAGTGAGCTCTCGATATCTCGCTCTTGCCGGCTTGTCACGATCAGATGCATGTTTCGGAACTGCCAGCCAGTGATGGTCTCGAGCATTTCCATCAGCTCGGTACGCTGGGCGCACTCGTCTAATGCGTCAAGCATGACGTAGACTTGTGGCAACTGCTGCATCGTTCGGCACGCTACCTGTAGGAGTGCATCGAGCGACGGTTGTCGTTTTCCGTCCTCACAGGAGGAGAAGAGGGCGTCAAGACTTGCAGGGACGTCAATAGCCTGACGCGAGAGTTGGCAGATTAGTGAGCGCAGCATTGGCTCGGCGTCCTGCTTCTGCACGTCGTTGAAGTCGAAATAGAAGTATGCAACTGCATGTCTAGGATTACTGTCGCGGTGCTGGAGAAGGTCCTGTAGGATGGTCGAGCTCAGGATCGTCTTGCCGCAGCCCGGGATGCCGTACAGCCACAGAGACGACGCAGTGTCTGTCTTCCATCTCGCATACCGTTCGCCCTCCAGGAACCAGAGGCCCGTGTTATGCTGTCGCTGCTTGAGCGCTTTCTGGTAGTTTGTAGAGGGGTCTGGCGCCGATAGCCAGTGGTGTATCTTGTTAAGCCATGCATCTTGGGTCGGATTGTGTTCTTTGTCACTCTGAAGAAGTGTAGCAGCCGCACTCTCTAAAGAATCCCTTATCTCTTTCTGCAGCCTCTTCATGGCACGTTCTTTCCCCTCTCCATAAATCGGTAGCATACTGATGTTAAATATGCCCAGCAGTGAGTATGCTTTGTCTTCTTCCCGAGTGGTCTGGCGCTTCTTCGTCCACGACATCCGCTCCTCAACCTTAAAGTCACGTAACGGCGCGTTTCGAAGGGCAAGGACAGGAATGTGGGTAATCTCATGGATGAGCTCCTCCAGGCTCAACTTGTCGCCTAGTTGCTTACCCTCTTTCGAGAAGAACCTGACTAGAGACGGAGCCAGGAGTTCTTGAAGCGTCCAGCCTCGTGAAAACCATCGGCTTTTTCGAAAAGCTGGCTCCCAGGTAAAGCTGAACATATTATAATCCGCTTTTTGTTTCTTAATCGAGACATCTGACAGAAAGACGTAGCACTGGCTTGAATCGCGATACCAACGGAACATAGATGTGATTGCCTCTGATAGCTCTGCACTGCTAGACTTGTCGATGCAGCAGGTGTCGATCCAGAAGTAATCGAGGCCATCCCTTGCAGCCTGCTCCCCGCAGAAGGTAAGCTTATCGTAACCACTTTTCCCTTCGCCTGTACCGTTAAGCAGGTCCTGGTATGTGACTTCCTCGTTGCTAGGGCCCCAGTTATGTGAGAGAATGGCATAGGGCGGAACGTTTTTGCCTTGAATCTCGACAAGGCTGAAGCTACCGGCACCCTGGAGCTGCAAAAGACGCATGGAGAAGGCACAGTTGCGTAGCGTGAGCGGCGCGAAAGTACATGTAAGTACTGAGACGAGGCGTGTGTGTGGAGGTATTAGAGGCGTTCACTATCGATGTTTGCATGAGTGATAGAACACGGTGTGGGTGAACAGGCTGAGGATCGTAGCTAGTGCAGCCGTGGTTGAGGTTCATCAAGCTAGCCTGGTTTGGCATGGCTTGTGTTCGCAAGCGTCTCACAGCCACACAGCTAGGACAAATTAAAGCCCAACACCCAGACTTGTCAACAATCAAGCCAATCAAGC